CCAGGTCCTATGATAATAAAACTCCAAACTTTAGGAATATCTAACATAAAATCGTATTGAGACCTTAAAGAACTAAACCGTGGTCGTACTTTATCAGGAAAATATTCTTTTTGGACAGAATTGTTCAATGTTAGGGTTAGGATATCAGAGACCTTTGACCTATATTAGCTGATTTTTAAAAAAAAAATTTTTATGTCACCATCATCTTTTTCAGCTTATGAGTGTTAGCATCTCAACCATGAAAAAAAGCTATATATCAGCTGTAAGCATTCAGAGCAGGGAAACTCCACAGGCCAAGAAATTACATCAGTCATGGCGGCTTCAATTGGCAGATCTGAATTTCAATCTGATGATCTGTTAAAATAAATGTTCAAAAACAGCTAAATAATACACCAAGTGCTTTTGAAATTCATTAGGCACCTAGATAAGGAAACAATTCTTAAAATACAACAAATAAAAAGTTTTATTGTTTGTCATTTTTCTACAGAATATACCTCTCAAAATTATTTCAATATATTAAAGCTCTGCCTATCCTTACATTGCACTCTCCAGGTTCTTTTATTAACTGGTACAAATGGTTATATTATTGCTTTGGAAAGCTCTTTAAAACGTATTTGATCTCCCTCACCTGTTCTAAAATGCTGTCTGGTATTTTTCTGCAGGCAGCGAGAGTACATCAAAGGAGCACAACAAAAAGAGAGCTGCTGAGAACAAGGAGGCCACAAACCTGGAAGTATTAGCCTTCAGTCCAGAGAGAAGGTGAGTTCATGTTTGCTCCAAGATATGCTGGAAACAAACCAAAAAACATATATATTCTCATCCGTGTTGAGGGTCTCCTTGCTTGCCTTTCAGGTCCAGGTCTTTGGACATGGCTGCCACAGGAGACAGCGGGAAGAAGAAACGTGGAGGGAAGATGTTTGGCTCCCTGGAAAGAGGCCTGGACAAGGTCATCACCATGCTCACTCCGAGTAAAAAACGGGCTCTGCGGGACGCTCCACGGAAGAACAAGGTATGAAATGAAAGCAGGCATAGAAAAGCAGAAGCTTTGTTAAAAAACTACATCACACTCTTAAACATCATTACTGCAATCAGCATATTTTACGGACTCATTCACAGTCTAAGTTTCACAAATTTTCTTTAGGCTCAATATAACGTGACCCTGACCAGTCAGACCAGTCCAGATCAGGTGCTGAACCAGATCCTCTCCGTCCTGCCTGGGAAAAATGTCGACTTCACACAGAAAGGGTAAAACCGATTCTCTCTGGTCACTCATCTTTGTAGGAGATCCTTCCATTTCTTGATGTTTGTTTTGCGTGTTCTGCAGGTATACCCTGAAGTGTCAGACCTGGGATGACTTTGGGAAAGTGACCATGGCGTTCGAGCTGGAGGTGTGCCTGCTGCAGAGGCCGGAGGTTGTCGGCGTGCGGCGGCAGAGGCTGAAGGGAGATGCTTGGGTTTACAAGCATCTGGTGGAGGACATCCTTTCTACATCCAGCATCTAAGCAGCGTTTTAGCTGTATATAGCTGCAACGCTGCCTCTTATTGACACAAAAGACTTCTCTCTGAGCGGAAATAGCTTAAATAAAATGATCATTGTTGGATATATTGATTCAGAGGAAAATGTGTACATTGATAACTGTAGGTCAGCCGTGTCAGAATCGTGTAATATGTATTTTAAGAGCTTCTGAATCCCCTAATACTCTATTAAGATTAAAGTGATTTCTGTCAGTTGTCTTGATGCATATAATACAGCAGTGCTTTGCTCTTTATACCTTCCAGCTGTGTTTTAACATATTTTACCTGATGTTTTTCACCCCAGAAGATACAACACACAAGCATTACATTACATCATTGTTCTATTTAATGTTAATGTTTACAGTCGTCTCAATCGTTTTTCAGTGTTATAAGTGTCTTGTTTCTGTTTTATCTTTCATTCTTAATATGTCATATTTTAATTGTTTAAGGTGCAAAAATAAATACCTTCTCTTTACCGAGATATTAAGCTGCTTCTTTGAATTCAACGATTGGGTTTTTAGTAGTTTTACTGTTTTGTTCATCTTGGATTCTGCTCATTTTGGTGAACAGAGCAACAAAATTAGGAATTTAATTTGAAGTCTTCCAGGTTCTCTTTGTTTGAATATAGTGGTTAGTGGTTTTAGATGTTTAGATTGATAATTTATAGCTATGCTATTGAGTCAAACCGTGTCAGAGTTTCAGTCACTTCAATGAGTGCATTTTTCTGTAAACTTGACTGACCTGCCTCAGCAATTATGGAATGAATTTGAGCTGATGCTGCTGTTAAGGTTTTCTCCTCTTAACACATCTGTTGCTGCTGTTGGAGATGGGAGTCCTATAGATCAGGGCACAGGTGCCACTAGACATTCAGCACCTTATGTGAATCTTGGCTTTGGTCCATGCATTGTGTGTGCATTCTGAGTCACAATCAGCAAAACTATGATTTCATGATAAAGCTTCTAGATTAGAAATACAATGTCAGCAAAGATCATGTAAAATAAGACCTGGTAACAGAAGAAATAATCAAGTAATTTGGCAATCTAATCATTGACTGAAGTGTTCACATGTCGTTGCTGGAAGAGCAACCAACTTGGAGGAATAATTAAATCAAAACTACAAAAAGCATTTTGTGTAAAAGATCATTGCACTAAATTTACTAAAACTGCCTTTTTTGCCTAATTAAAAAATTATAGACAAAATAATCAATTGCTGAAATCATCAAAGCTGCAGTCCGAAAGTAAACAGATAGGAACTTATTTCAAAATTTGGGAGTTCCTCTCTATAGCCATGTTTGTGTGCAACATCAAATTCACATTTCCTCAATTTTGCAGAAACAAAAATTAGCAGTATGCTTAATTAACAGAGTAGATGAATGCTGTGAGAATTGAGTATAATTGCAGTTGGAGAATAATTATGAAAAGAATTAAGCTTAAAACTAACAAAAGAGGCACAAAAATACTCTTTCATGTATGATAAAACCACCAAAATACGGTACCTATAGGAAAATAATAGCTGTTAAATATAATCACTGAAGTCATAAACCTTTATAAAGGCAAAATATATAGGTGATCCCAAACTATAAGCATCTAAAGTAATAGTTATGATTCAAGAAATAACTGTTCAGACAAGATTCAATTATTTTTTTTTTTTCATTTATCAAAATCATCAGTTTCCGACAATATTTTTATAGATCAGACTCTAAGATATATAAAGGATTCCCTACAAACTGACTCTGTTCCAATGCTGTAAGTTCCCCTCCCTGGGATTTAAAGGCTAAATGCCATGCAGTCATGATAGTGATGAAGGTGATCAGCCTTCATTTGTGGAAGGTTCTCCTTGAAGTCTCAGCAGGGAGGAGAAGGTTAATGGTGGGTTCAGTTACTAATAAGGAGGAGAAGATTAACAGTAATGAGAGACTGAGTGAGGTGGGCTGATCTTTTATGACAGGTGTAAAGGTCTACCATTCTGACCTAATTTTAGGCTTTATGTTAATGTTTTTTTTAATAGAAATCTTGTAACAGGGATAAATGAACTTACTCCTGTTTCAGTCCCTCCCACTTAAACAGGTGGTGCTAATAATCCTAAAATCTGTCTGCAGAACAAAAGAACCAGTGTTTGTCAGAAAGGAGATTAGCTGAAGACGTCTGGAAAAATTGCAAACTACAGAGTGGTGGAGTGGGAGTCAAAGAAGCAGAATTTATATTTTGGGAGCAGTGCTGGGTGAGTAGAGGTTAGTTTTCATATCACGTGTGTGATATTATCCTTCAGTCATGTGTTAGTGCTTGGGCTTATTATTGGAGCTTTATGTTTGACTTTTCCACTCTGCTTTTTTTGTAAAGGTCTGAAACTTCAGGACTTGGATGAAAAATGAGGCTTTTTCTGGGAGCTTCCCTCATTGTTCTTTTCCTATGTAAGTTTTCTTTTTTTCTTAAGAATACCTTTGTATGGAGATGATCCAACTTTTACTGTTTTGATTCTCTGTCTGTTTCTGTATCCGATTTCATTTTAGATTTTTTTTGCAGGGCTTCAGACGGCTCAAAGATCAATCGACCGTCGAAGCGCCTGTGAG